GACTTCACAGAGGTCAACCGTTTCAGGCTGCAAATATTGCTGAGCATGACCGCTACGGAGTTGGGGAGGCATCAGCTGGGATTGACGTTTCGACATGTTTGTGCTAAATAGAGGCACATTGACAGGTCACAAATACATAAACGACATCTTAGACAAACAGGTTAGGTTGTATGCTGGAACAGTCGGCGATCAGTTCATTCTAATTGACGATAATGATCGCCCCCTTTTGGCCAGGATGGTCCTGGACTACCTAGAGGGGTAGTTTACTGAGCGCATTGACTGGCCAGCTCGCTTACCTGACTTACTTGTCAGTTGCAACCCAGAGTCATTCAGGAGCTTGGAGCCACGTTGGTTCAATACTGGGCAGCCATACCCGTTAAAAACGATCATAAACCTCATAGGAAGTATGAGAAGGAGCTGTTTAGCTGTCATTGATAGTCATGAGTCACAAGCACGGTATCAAGTCTAAAAGGGTTTACAAAAAAATCCAATTTTAAATTAACAAATTTGGAAAACGCCCTGCATGTTCTGAAATTTTCATCCTCTTCTCTAGCACAGAATCAGTGTAAAACTCATTGATAGGGCTAAATTCGTCCTTCAGCTGAATTTATAAAACAGTGAATCAACATTTAAAATCTTTCGCACATCGTTAATATAATAATCTCAAAAATATTCACACTCAAACATATGGTGCTTAGTAAATGTTAATAAGTATATTAAATTGTGTAGTTTTAACCTACATTTCTAACAACAACAACAAACAAACAAAGATCAATGCAAAAAAAAGTGGCGCCAATTAAAAAGATTATTTGTTGCCAAAATAGAGAAAAAAAGAATCCCTAAAGAAAGCCCAACACGTCAAAATTGAAAATGTTGCAGGCTCGGTTTGATTGAGCCTGTTCATGGACGGTACTGTCAAGTGCAAACTACTGCCAAGTCTTTTTTTTTGCTATCTTTCAAGAACTTAACAGCGATCTTTTGTATTATTCATTGCATCGGCAGTTCAACTCTAGTGTGTGTGAAATATCTCAATTAATATTTATTGCCTTTGTATTTGGTTTGTTTCCTGCGTATGATTTTATCATGAACAGTTCTAAACATTTTGAATAAAATGTTCTGAAAACTGACTAGAAGACGGACAGTCGTTTTAAAAAGCATGTTTCGTTTGATGGTATTTTAATTGACTATTATTGTCATTATTATTGTAACGGTTAACTCTTTAGGGTAAAAGATGTGTAAGCGGTCAGATAACTCAGTCGGTAGAGACGCAGTACGATATTCCGAGGGTCCCGGGTACGAGTCCCGGTCAGACTGCACATTGTTCTCACCCTATGACATTTGGTGCCCAATATGTCAAATGTATGTGATAGACATATCATCAAAAATATGACAACATCAATATATTTTGAAACAATTTTATTTACTTAAGATCAAGATTAAATTTATGTATTATAGTAATAAAGCACATATCCAAAGTGACGTTGCAATTGATAAAACTACGTTGAAAATTATAAGGTGAGCATGCTTGTGCGAAGTTAATAATTCAAATATAAGTTTCTCTTTTCTCCATTTAAAACGATATCTGGAAAAAAGATAATTATTAAAATTAGATATTTAGAATTACTTTTTAATTAGATATTTAGTGTTACTTTCAAACGCTATTTGCATGATTTAATGGGAATAACAGAAAAAACATTGTGATGCAAGTTTCTCAAAGCCATATTAGATCTGATGTCTTTTTTGTAATTTCTGTGAAATCACTTCTGATGGATAGAGGAAATAAAGAAATACATTCATTATCTTTTTTACCTAAATCTTTTCTAAAAAAAGAAGCGTTCAAATTGAAAAAATCAGAGAAAACTGTCGATCTTGTTCAACGTAAGACATCTACCGATCTTTTTAAATTTGCTATGAAGTCATAATTGAAATATATGCGTTTTAAATTTGTTACCTGTAAATGGAAAAAAAGACTGATATTATAATTTGCAGAATGTAAAATTCTTTAAGATTGAACTGAAACCGTGCAGATTCTTGTGTTGGAATAACAGGCTAGGTTGCTTTATAGGGATACCAATTTTTCATTTTATTGTACAATTAAGTATTACCAATTAACCATCAACGATCGTTCTCGGAAACAAGCACCAATAGGTTAGTGTAGAGATTCCAACTTCATTTTAAAGAATAAAGCTTAAACTAACTTTACAGCAAGCTGCTATAAATTAAAAGTTTTATTAATTTAACGCATATTACATGCACATGTAATCATGCTTACTCTTGATTTCCGTTAATCAAGTTATTTGGGGCAAAATAGCTAAAATAACCGCTTCATTTAAAAAAACTAAAGGTTTTTGCGTTTCTGAATTATATGTGTGCGAGCTGAGAATTTGCCAGACGGAATTGCGTCTTGTGTTAAAAGTCTACGAGGTGTTTCACCTTCTATCAACTAAGTCTAGCGATTCAAATAACTTTTTCTTTCTTTCTTACCTTTTTTCTTTCTTCTCATCAATCGTTAAATTATGTCAATAACCGGTTTCTTTCAAATACGCTTCTACTCCGGAAATCAATTTCCTTACGTTATCATGACCCAGGCAATTAGAAGTAAAGTAGATCGGTGTTACAAAAAAGATCAAGCAATATGTCAAAGTTTCACTTTCTCACTCTTTTATCTGCTCTGTTGCTGTAGATAACGAGACAAATAGTTGAAATCATCAATCACCTGGGATATAAATAGTTTATATAATTATTAAGAAAGAGAAATTTAATCAATCTCAATTATATCTTATGATGAGGTTTTAGAAAGTTGGATCTAAACGAGAGAAAAAACTTTATTTCGAGACAAGCAATGGAAGCTTTCAAGTTGTTTGAATCAAACGCTGAGTTGACAATATAACAAATTCAAGCAAGCAAAAGAAACAAAACAAAACTTGTATCATTTTAAATGAAAATTAATATTAATTAATATATTGAATAGGCAATTGCCATCTTAGTACTTTTTTTATATTAGGTCTACCTTTCTAAGAAACAAAGATAAATTTCATTTACCAGTGCATCAAATTAATATAAGAATTCAATTTTCATAGTGTAAATCTTGTTTTAGAGATTTCCCTTTGACAATATTAGCTTGTACCAAACATTAACGTCGTTCAGCTAAAACATTTATGTTGAATTCAGGCATTTGTAAAAACATGAAGAAATATTTATAAACATTATGATCTAGTCAGTATAAAAACTTAGATAATCAGCAAATGTTTTCGATGGACACTCATCATTGCTTATTTTCTGATGATAAGTAACTTATCCATATGATAATAGTGTTTGATGCAATAAAACTGTCAGGAACAATATGCATTTCTTCACCTGTAAGTTTTTTGGCATACTGTTAGATTGTTACTCAATTTTGATAATTAAGATAGTTGTATCGTTGGTTTGATTAAAAGTTTTTTTTTTTGAAATACCAGGAATAAGTTTTTGGATTCTACGTACTAAGCAAACTGCATATTATTAAATCCAGCATTTCTACAATAATTGACATCAACGGCATGCAATTATTGGCAAACAATAAAGCTGTGTTTTACATAAAAAACGACTGAATCCTATTAAAAGTGATACTCTTATAAGAACTGACTATGTTCTATTTGTCTGAGTTTGTTAGTCTCAATTGCACATTTAACAGGACTCATTGGTTTGAAATATGAGCCTTAATATCAACAAAGGAGAGCATCGTGAATTAAAGGAAATAGCGCGATATCATGGTACATTAGCATTTGAATGTCCACCAAAACAAATGGTGTCAAACAATGTCAAATGGTAATCAAACAGGATGAGATGGGCGGAGAGGGCCAATGCCAAGTTTTCATATATAACATTAAAACACGTATTACATGTAAATACGTAGAAACCTTTGTTTTATTAAGAGTGATATTACAGGCATAGTCATAAAGTTATCATTGAAACCTTACTTTATATGATTTTACTTAAACCGAATTATACGTTTTTATGTAGTTTTAAATCAATCTGATAATGTTTTGTAGTTATAGAAAAATAACACCGTTTAATGATGCAACAATTTTTCTTTTGTTTAAATCTTATTTATAAGTTTTGTATAAATAAGGTATAGGTATAAGGTGAAAGCTTTTCATGCATTTGTGTCAGTCTAAAAGATGCATTTGTGTCAGTCTAAAAGATGCATTTGTGTCAGTAATTTTAAGGGTCAGTTTTAAAAAAACATGGAACAAATATTAAAAATATGAATTGTATGTAATGTCAGTTATAAGGGACAATAGAGGAGTGTGATAAAAAATAATTACAAACAGTTGTTATTTTTGTTGTTGTTGTTGTTTTTTGTATTTTTTTTGCTGTTGTTTTTTGGGGTTTTTTTTATGAAAAAAGTCAGATGTTGAAATACAACAATATATAGAATATAATATATTAACATAAACAGAGCGTCATCGCGGACATGTGCATTAATTTTATACATGTGAGAAATATGGCAAAGGCCTAATCGACCTGTATATATAGTATGTATTTTAAACAATTCAAGAAATCATTGATAATTCTAATAGCATGCCAGTTTTGCCAGGATTAAATCGGGAAGCTATCTACATTTTGTCATTTTATATGTAAATATTAAAAGTGTACCACATATCTACTAATGTCTTGGTAAATGCTTAAGTTTACATATGAATATTCCATGATAGATACGAACAACATACTCGTAAATGAACAAACGAGTGTTACAATAAATGCAATAGTCCTAGGATAAAAGGCTAAACAGAACGCAACAAAATAAGAAAATCATCTAAGGTTTTATTCATTTATTAAAAGTGTCATAACTTTATTAATAAAATCATATGGGTAAATTGTAATTTTAACAATAAACAGGTATTCTGTTTCTAAATTATATCTTATATCTAAATTATATTCTTAATAGAAAACATGTATGCAGCAATGTAATCAAAACTCAAACAATACTATGACGTTTATTAAAATTATCAAGTTAGTGAGAAAATAAGATTTAATATTAAAACGTTATTAAAGTATTAAAAATTCAAAGTAAAGGTCAGTATGAACACAAAACGAAATGATTATTTTTGCAAGTTTAAGACTCCGAGATATTTCACGAGCGTATGATTGAAAACTACTTGTATGGCTGAATACTTGTCGATTTTGCATTGTATGAATACGAGCATACAGCACATGTCAGCTCCCATCCGTGTTTATATGGATTGCAAGGTAGAGAGCCACAAACCCCTTCAACAAAATAAAACAATTTGCCATCCAAGTTTTTATGACTTCCCATAATTGTTTCAGGATTTCCATCAACACACACAAATTCAGAGGATCACGGATGAATGTCGCGTTCGGCCATAAGATAGCCTTTATATTCTAGGATGTAATTGTCATGACAACGGTTTTCCCCGGCACCATAAGAACGTTAGTACGTGGTATTCGGCAAACTGCGCATGGAATATCATGGTCTTGAAGATACGCCCATTCCGGATATCTGTCTGTTTGATATTCTGCCCCATATATCCTACCTGAAAATTGAAATCCGCTGAGATACTTATCGTAGTCCGGATCTTTTGGCAGACATAATGGATTAACGGCAGTTCCGCTTTTAAGGTGATCTGACCCTGCAACGTATCCATCATAAACTAGAACAGCTTTACCAGGACACGTGGTGCGACCCCAGCGAATGTATGTTGTACCAGCAGATTGCTTGTTTGTTTCAATCGTGTCGCTCAGGTTTGCTATTGTTTTTACAGCATCTGAATTTGAGATATACGTAAAAAGTTATGATCAAATGTCACCGAATACAATAGAATAGAACTTGAAAATACATCGTTCCTTATTACGTTGTTAATATCATAGTACATGTATATTCATTGTAATATTAATTTTATCCAGATATCTTTTTTTTCTCAAATTTTCAAAACTTTAATTCATTTGTATTCTTAAAAGGCCCATTATGTCGGATATATGTTTTTTGTTTTTGTTTTTTTTAAAACTTTCAAAGCTTTAAATTCTTTTATATTCTCAAAAGGCCCATTATGTCGGATATATGGTGTTTTTTTTTGCTTGTTAGTTTGTTGTTTTTTTTTTCGTTTCTCAAAAGCTTTTTCTTGTTGGTGCCCTGTTTAAAATTTCCAAAGCTTTAAATTCATGTATAATATTAAAAAGGCCCATTATGTCGCATGATTTATTTTGTTTTTTAAAAGCATTTTAATGTAAGGTGTCCTGATGAAATTTTTCAAAAAGTTACTCATTCACCAATTACCTGAAACATCTTTTGCTTCTATTGCTACTTGACATTTAGTACAGTTGTAATGATTGAGTATTTTGTATGGACGTTAACATATTACTTTGTTTACATTATGCAATGTCATAACAAATGAGTTAATATTCAGCGCTACTTTCATCAGGTTATTAACTTTCTTCACGCTTTAAAGCCATTTATGGAAACATTATAGATTGTATGTTTCTAAAGGAGGAATAAATCGTCCCTGAGGCATAATATGCTTTGAAACTAAAACTAATATTGTCATGAAAAGCAACACATTTAAACTTCATCTCACAGTCTTTATTTGTGATTACTAAAATTATTGATTTTGTTTCTATTCTGCTACATAGTACAGATAATTTTAATGTCATTTTTCCTTCACATTTTAGCTAACTGATGATCTGAATCTTAAAAAAAATAATTAAAACAGTAATTTTAGAACATTCTTAAATTTCATTTTACTCACGCATAAATATTTGCTTGCATTTGAGTTTAGTTCAATTTTATAAAAACATAATTACCTTCAAGTTGTGCGGTTAAAATAGATACTTTGTTATCTAAATGTATTAATTTTGATAACAATGTGTATCCCCAATCAAAATTACTACTACTCGGTGCATTTTCCGACGACGTAAAGTAAATTGAAGACACTAACAAAAAAGCAAACAGAAGCATGCTTTCGTTTAAGACGAGTCCGAATGAGCTTGACACGGAACATGTAATGTTCCTTTAATAGTCATCTGTTATAAGGATAAACATTTAAAGGTAGTATGACGACTTATCAAATTGTTGATTTTTGAGCGAATTTTATATCTAGACACCTTCTATAGGTACAACTTGTGATATATTTCACATTTAAAAACGTATTAGCTGTTGCATTCATGTGGAGTGTTCAAGAGAAATACCAATGTGCATGTGGTCATAAATCAATCATTTTCAAGACAATGGCGCTTTTAAAGCAAACCATGAGACAAGTAAAGAACAAAATTAAGACAAAACTAAGGGAGTGAAAATGAATGACCCAACGATAACAATAAAAAAAACATGTGAACCAATAAATGTAATTTGATAAGCTTTGTGCATGGCAGAAAATGAAACATACATCAGTAGCAAAAGCACCGGCATAAGCTGTATTCAATCGCCATTACTTATTTTTTATAATTAATAAAATGCATTGATTGCATTTAAAATCGGGAAATTATAACAATTCATCGATCAATACAAATGCATTCATGTTTACGTTAACGACAAATTGTTTGACATAATGCTGTTTGTAACAGGGTAATTCCTGTAAGAAAAAAAAAAGTTTTCATATGTTACAGTACATACTTTAGTTATTTATATGCAGGTATTTATGCTGATAATTTTCTTTTGTAATTTCAAAGAACATAAAACGCCACTATTATGTCATATATCGGTTACTTTTGAAACATTATCATTGTAATCATTATAAGTGTTTAATACATTAAAACCTACTCCAGTCTTTTAAATGTAAAGAAATGACTGATTTTATATACCAATAAATCGGGCACAAGTTGTTAAAATACATATGTTACATGATCAAAGAGTATCAAATACTCTGTTCTTATGAAATTAATACTATTAAGCGGACCAATAAATTCAAAGTAAAATACACAAGCATATGATATTAGCGTTATAACATTAGACAACCCTTCTTTAACTTTACGTTGAAGACTTCTTTTTCAAAAAATCGTTTTTTTCTTCAAGATTAGACAACAAACCATAAAGATATCAGAGTGACAACGTTTTTGTTTGTAGGTAACCAATAGAAAGCCATTTGCACTGTAAAGGGAAAGTTATGAACGACACACCATTTGAACTCATTATAAGCTACGACTTCAATAACAATGCAAATATTTCATCTTTTACCATATACATATTTAAGAAAAAATAGACTTAATCATTCATGACATCAGTTTAGGTTAGCCCACGTTAAAACGATTAAGATTTTCATACATAGAAAAGATTTGGTTTAAATATATTTCACATACCTTTAATGAATACGTTTTACAAATTACAGATTTTTGATTGATAACATTCTGAAAGAAGGGCTTCTGCGTGTAAAAGTCAGTCTATGTTTTTTTTATAAACAGTACAATACTTTAACAAGGTGACATACCTTTTACAGTTACTAAAATATCAGCATTTAAATTGAATCCAGACTATATTCACATTTTATCAATGATTTGTAAATCTGAAATGTTTTTAAAACTTTAAGTATTTATTATTAAATTACAATGTTATCTTAGGTGTTAAACATTTGTAAGTACAGCAGCAAGTGTTTGTTAGTACAGCAGCAAATATAACCAAATAAAAAAGGAAATACAAACAAACATAAAAACGCAAACAAAAACAATAAACAAGCAGCAAAACTAAACAACAAAACAACAATCTTGTTTATCATACTGAATTCACAATAAGAAAGATCAGATTCTATCAGAATGATTTGCATAATACTTTACTCAAAATATGGCAAAGGAAATCAGAATAGCTTAGCTTTAATATACATTTATAAATAAATCACAAAGTCTTAACGTTCATGAAGAAAATTACTTTTCAACAATGATTTGTTTTTAATTGGTTAAAACTCAAAGGAGAAAACACCTTTTATTATTAAGACAGTTGCCATAAGTTAGGATCAATTAATTACAGTAAAGCTGAAGAATAGATTATTCCATTTCTTAATAATCGTTTGTTCGGAAAAGTAAACAAGGAATAAAGTAAACGTTACGAAACCAGAACTTTAAGCTATATTTATGTTATGAAGAAAGCATATAAAAAATAACAAAAAGAGAGATTTACTTGTTTTGTCTAATTATGAAAATTTGATTGAAAATAAAGCTTCTTAAATAATTATATATCTTAATCAAAACATTGCTAATATGAATAGATGTATAAGTTTAGGTGAAAAGTAAGTGACTGAAAATTTCTTAAATGATATTGATAAGAATAATTTTATAACATGCTTGTCAGTGGATACTGAAATTATATTTTGATAATTTTACAGTGAAATTGTAAGATATGATTTTTACAGTAGCATGAATATATCTGAATGCTGATGAAAAGAATATATCTTAATTAAAGGGAAATACGATCAGAAATACACTTATTCATGAGTTCAATTTGCTTTATAACTAAAGCTTCATGAATACCTGCACTTATCGTTTTAACCTGAACCAAAATTCGCTACATTTTTCAGAATTATTTTTCAACAAGATCAATAGTACGTCATGAATTGAAGATATCATGAATGACAGCGCAAAAAACGCGGGATGAAATCAAGTAAAATTGATTTTAAACCCTTAAAAGCACGTAATAAATTAAAGCTTTATTTTTTAGAATGTAAGATCAAGATCACTCTTTTATTTCATTCGTGGCTACGCTACCTGTGAAAATAATACACAAGGTCTTTACTCCGTGAAATTAATGTTGATCTTATGTGCAAAACAAACAAATATCCATCTGGTTCAGTACACCAAAACTTGAAATATTTAAACTGAAATTTTAAGTGTGAATGTACTATTCCCTTTGTTAAAGAAAGCATGATCAGCCGATAAGATGACTCGATAATATAAAGAAGTACATACATGTACACTTGTACATTAGAGATGTATAATTTTAAACGTGATTTACGTTGAAAAGTTTTAAATTATAGAAATACAATTTGCAGAAATCATCGCAGTGACTTTACTGCTTCATTTTCACAATGTTTTATCAGAAGCAGTCAAAATTAATGTCATGATAAATGACACGGTGACTTATTTTAATAAGTTAACAAATGCTAAAATTATCTTAAACATGTTTGCATTCAATTTCTGTTGTCAATGTAACCAATACAAAAGTAGGGTAGAGAGAGAAAAAACAATGATAAGTAAGCGCTGCACAGTGTTTATTGTCAGTTACTCATTATATTACAATTGTTTTGTTTTGTTCTCAATTTACTTCGACATTGGAACTGCAATAAAGAAAGAACTGTTATGAACATGATGTGTAGAATGAAAGGCTTATTTGATTAAAGATCGTTATAAAACCACATTAGGATAAAACAAGATTTACTATTCGAAAACTATTATAATTCGTGACTTTTTCTATAATTAACGTCAGTTGATGACAAATGGTAATTTCTGTTTTCTACTAGAAAAGTATAAAATATTTTTTCCATGTACAACTAGGTACGTTAAATGTTCCATAAATAATATAAATATATTATATCTTTAGATATTAATCTCAAATCATCTGTTAATAACTACGGTTTTAACAAAATTATACTTTCAGGGCTTGGAATCAGAACTGCGTCGTATCCTACAATTTGTAAGCAAACGACGCCATTGAATGAAAAAGTATACGTTAGTTTTTTACTAATCTTGATGGAAATGACAGAAAACCAGATACGCTCCACAATTTTCCGCTTCATGACACAGATGCATGCTGGACCCGACTGTTATGTAAGTTGAGATCCATAGGTAGACAGACAGACGGAAGGTATGATTTTGATATGCCGCCTTTAGGGGGCATACAAAAATAATAAAATAAAATAAAACAAATAATACGCAATCGTCTGCACATATATAGTCTGCAGATTTGGTCTGCAAATATACATCTGCAAATATACAGTACTCATTATTGAAGTAACATGTACATTTTAGTAAAACCTTTTTTTTCTTGATTTGCAAATTATTGTCATGTGTTTTTGTTAAATTAACACACCCAAAATATCATGCAGCTGCTCAAACCACGTTGGCGATTAATTCATTAAAATCTTTAGTTATGAAAACATGTACGAAGTAAATAATTCAGATTTTCTTTTCCCTCCATTTGAAGCGATATCTGCAAAACATTTAAGATAACTATTTAAATTAGATTTTTTAAGTTATACTTTCTAACGCTATTTGCAAGATTAAATGAGAATATAAAATTACTGTTACGCAATGTTCTCGTAGCCATTTTGATGTTTCTTTTCTGTATTTCTATGTTATCAGTTTTTAATAAAAGAAGAAGTAAAAAGTAAACTAACGTTTTTCTCATCATTTTATGAAAACGTTTGTTTTTTTTTTTTTTATTTAAAATCGAGAAATTAAAATATTTGATTTCAGAATGTAAATCCTGATTCTTTTGAAAGACTGGTTATTACGCAATGAGATATATATTTGTTTAAACGAACGAAAACATTTTACTTATAGCATTTGCATGTATATTATATTTTTAAAAACCATGTTTATTAGTTTGTTTTTCCAAAAAAACTAGACATAAGTAAAGATGGATCTTAATTTCAAGCTCATCGAATGCGTGTAAGTTTCAATTAAGTTCCTGATAAATATTCAATTGTTATGTAAGTTTGATTTATGTTTTATCCACACACGTGAATAACGATGTTTAATTCTACTTCAGTGATTTTGATGCCACGGGGTATATAGTATTTGAACCATCCGTCCATATGCCCATACGAACCTGTTCCGATAAGCGGTCTTCTTCCTTTGATTTAGGGGTCAGTAGATAGAGATGTAAAATACAAATTATATCACTATTTGATAAGTGTGACAAGCCTACACTCACATACAAAACGCAGTATATTGTGAGATTGAAACAATTTATCACGGATGTAACTAAACATTAGTATGCTTACTAGTATAACACTGGTACTGCTGCAAAAAAAGCAACAACAATTAAAACAAAACAAAGCAAAAAAAAGGGAAAATAAACCTCATCCTTTT